TGTACTCCAGATGATTCAAAGTCAAGAACACAGCTTATTTTAATCTTGTAACCCCCAAACTGGAGTATGACAGTAGTGTATTGAACCCTCACAGGCAGTGTAACATCGATAAAATAGAGATGGTTTCCCCCTACACTTCTATCCTGCTCTAGCTGCTTCCTGCATGCTTTTTAGAACAGAACAGAGCACAGTCAAGGCCTCTTTACTTGTTAAATATAGGAATCATGGGGTGAAGAATTAAATAAAAGAAGACCATTGCAGTTATAGATACAGCTTTTGCTTGCAACAACATAATTATGTAGGGTATTTCATCATCATCCTTTCATGGGCTCATAACTGACCGACTCAGTGACCTGCTTCCAGTTGGCTTATTACATGTAAATCAATTGTAGGGCATTGCACTGGTATTGCAGAGGTCAAGTTTTTGAATCCCACACAAGCCTCAATTGTTTTAGGCTTTTTTTCACAACTGCAAAAGTTGTGTCTAGAAATTTGTTTAATTCTTTTCACCCTGCATTTCCTATTATTATATGTTTCTCTTATATTCATTATCTCACTATAACATCTCTGCACTACTGCGAAAGGAAAAAAATTTACTTTGTATCATTAAGTTATCTACCCTTGTTCAGGCACAGATCCACACTAGTTTCCACAGTTTTACGCAAATCAGTCAGATTTTCCATAATAAATATATTTTTAATGATAAAAAATAGTTTCCAAGTTGAAATCTGGCCAATATCCCACCTAAATGACTTGGAAACCTAGGGAAGGGGACTTTAAGGAGTTAAAATCCAAAAAATTTCCTGGGAGAACCTGCCCCCAGACACCACTAGAAGCTTGCACCTTTGGTGCTTGTTTGGGAAATCGGTCAGTATTTATCTTGGATCCGTGCCTTTTGTTTGCCTAATTTCTTCTGACTTAAGAGACTTGTATTATCAACTGAAAGGGGGACATGCAACAACTAGAGGCTCCTAAGCTTTCCTGTCTACAAACTGTCAGAGTCCTAGAGCATTTTGCATGTGGCATTCTGAGTGATGGTTTTACTTGCATGATATTATCAAAGGATATCATCAAAAACTGTCTGATTGTGTTGTGGTTGTTCTTTTTCAGTCCAGCTTTTCAGTAAATCTCTGGAGTTGCATGGTATTTACTTAGAAGCAGTGGCAGGAATCATCATAAGGCTTGCCAAGGAATTCATTTTTTTACACAAGCAATATTCATCTTAACGAACCTTCCTTGATTTAAATGGAGTAGTCAGCAGCAGGTTAGTGACCATTTAGTGTTTTCAACGGTTAATTGTGTTTGCTAGGAGAATGCAACTCCTAATCTTGAAAATCCTGTGGTACTTGGGTAACCTGTGGTACTCAGAATGTCCATTTTAGCAAGTTTTTTTTGTCATTTGTCTGCCTTTTCAAATTATGTCGTGTGCATGTGCATTACCCTTTAGTTATTGTTCAGCTTGAGGGAATGAAATTTGGAGCTGTTTTTTAATCCAGTTTTGTCGCTAAGTTGGTAATTATGTCCTACCTTCCTCTGTGTTATTACATTGTATTGTCAAGTGATGTTATACTGGTCAAACTAAGCTGAAACTTCGTAGAAAGACAGAAATCAACAGCAGGTAACATTTGTGCTGTTTGTGCCTTATTCAGGAATTTGTCCTTGCATTTGAGTCTATTTGATTATTTGCAGTTTTGGTCCTCACTGGCACGAAAAAAATGCCAGGATAACATGCATTTGCAGACTTTTGCCCATGTATTCCTGTGTCTATACATATACATGTAATGCTTAATTGATGTCTGATGTAGCTTCCCAGGATCTTATTGATAAGACCCTCTTGGCTAGCCCCTTAGTTTAAAAAACGATGAACTGACCTACATGACCTGAAAGAAGATAAGCAATTCACATGATGGCAAAAGATTTTGCACCCTAAGCAATGTTGACATCTGTATGGCCTAATAATTTATTGACTATTTTTTCTGGACAATGATTATTAAATCAGACGATGAGTCTTACTCAACTAAAACAGTTTATTATTCAACTTCACTCAGTTGAAAACAAATAATACTAATAATGAATACAAATGTCTCATGGTATTTGTACTCCAGCAGACCAGTTTGACTGGTTTTAATCTACAAACGTCACACGTGGCAGAAAATGCATCACTTTCCGAAGAAAATAACGAGATAGTAGCCAAAGTGTAAGCTTAAATAAAACTGAGTTTCTAGAGTACTAAAGTCTCCTGAATAACAATGAAATGTTGATATTTACTTAAAACAGATAAAATGTACAAACTTTATAAGCTAAATATACAAAAGAGAAGATGAAAACAGTCCCGAAGTTGTGTGATAGAGATGGTAATGACAACAATCCATGAAGCAAACAAAATCCATTAAATTCAGTTCCCGGTGACGAATTGAACAGTCTTCACCTCTAGTTCTTTTAAAATGTGAGGAGACTCGACATGGTAGACTTAAGATGTTCTCTTTTTGTTAGTATAACCCGGTGAAGATGAGGTTTCATGTCCTTTGTTTATGAGTAACTCTTTGAAATGTCTTGAATTTGTGGGAGAGTTTTCGTCCTTCCATTGCAATTTTCTCTGCTCAGTTTTCCTACTTGCAGTCCATTTTAGGTAACCGAAAAACCATCATAACCGTCACGAATTATTTGTCATTCCATCTGTTTTCCACTGACAAAAACTTGAAAAACATTGATTTACTGAGTAAACCAGTTCGACAAGTTTTCATTTCTAACCAGTCAGTAACAGCATTAATGCAAGCTCACAAAAACTAAACTCACGCTAGTCTGTCACTCATTCTCCTTATTAATTTAATTTAATTTAATCCATTTTTACTGCATACAACATAATAAATATACAGACACAAGTTATCAGCGGGAAGGACTAGAAGGGAACCAAAGAACCATACAGGCTAGTCCACCCAATTTAAAATTAGATTTCATTGTAAAAAAGAAAGAAAAAGAAATTTTCAGAAAAAGTAACACATAAATTGTTAATTATTGCTATGATCTCATGCTCAAGTTACATGTGAGCGATCAGGATCAAAACCCCTTATCTTAGTCTTATAAAAATCTCTGCAACGCTTTTTGAAGTATGACAGGCTCAGGTCTTCAGTTCTAAGGTTGTAGGTAAGTTGTTCCATAAATAAGGAATTCTATTTAAAAAAGTTCCCTTGAAGAGTTCGGTTTTAACTAAATTTAATCTGAGTTTATTACTTGAGAATGACCTTAGTCACCTATCCGAGCAGAATTCTGAAAATAGGAGTTGAACGAGCAATAATTATGGTGACCACAGTTGAGTTTGTAAAAAGTTACAAGGTCTTTGACTTCTCTTCGGTAAACCAACGAGAGTAGATCTAATTGTTTGAGCCACTCATTGTAGCTTAGCTTGGGCAGGAGACCCCCTCCACTAGCTTTATCATAGAGATAGACCTAAATTTCAGAGGCATAGTCAAGGTGGGAATGCACAATGGCCATGTAAATTATAAGTAGGCAAGTCTGCGCATTTATACTCCTCAGGTTGAAAAATAAATTTCTTATTCAGGGCTTGAAATTAAAAAAATCTTCGGTTTGACAACCAACTGAAGAAATATAGTTGCCAGATGCAAATTTGTATTTGCTAGTTTGTATAATGTAAATGACGCAGTTCATAGTATCAGGGTGTATGATATTTAGCGCGGTTGCGGAGCCACAAAATTCACAAAAACATGCGAAATACCACAAAATTCACTAGAAATCTTATCAAATACATGTTGATACAACATACCGGTATTTGAAACTTATCTCAGCTATTGGGGCTGTTTAATTGCTGTAAACTTGCAAATATATCTTGAAACTTTATCACCACAAAGAGCGGACAATGTCCCAAAACTACCAGGTTTAAATTATGTTGCGAAAAAACTGGGCACTAGTCATGATGTTAAAAACTTTGCCATTGGCTCATTTCTTGAGTGCTTTGTTGTTAGAATAGTAAATGATTATCTCTGTTAAAAACATTAAACACGCTTGTCAAATCAGCGCAAAATTGATCGATTTCTAGCGAAATTTG